AAAATGTCATTTGAGGAATTGAATAGAATTGTAATTTGCATAAAGATTCAATAAAATTCGAAACTTTATTTAAATGCCATATTACCGCAAATCTAGTATATATACAACTAGCCTGAGAAACGTGACAACATAGCTCATTGAGGTTCCCGATCGGAGATCGGATCGGGAATATATTCAACCATATTCAACATTCATTGATTCCGCATTGATTTATCTCGCTGTTTTGGCAAACGTTGCTACGCGATTTGTCTTGTCTACGGTTGTTGAATTTAATATGCAATGAAATGCAATTGGAAGGAAAATGGTTGAGTGAAAGTATGCAACCGTGATCTGTTGTTTATTGTTTGTTTGTGAAATGTGAGACGTAGTTTTCTATTAAAAATCAATCGCAACGTTGAGAAACAATCATCTTGCTGCCGTCATTATGTCAGCGACGAAGGTAAAATATATAAATGTTTCCCTTTAGAAATCGGTGAGCGGGTACTGTTAAGGAATAACTGATTTCTAATTCTGACAGGGTAACGTTAATAAAGATGACAATCTAAGACGACAGGGTTCATTTAGAAAATTACTACCATTGAATACGAACGGAGATTCGCAATTAAGTATGTCTGTGAAAATGATAGACAGGCCAGCTGTATCGCAAACGAACAAGGAATACACAATTTATTTGCAGGAGTACAATATCTTATCTGAATAGTAAGTTATTCACATTCATTCAAGCATGCATTCGGAGGGCATAAAAATCTGTTTCTTTTCCACCAGTAATATGTTATGTTCGCAAGATTTGAAGGGGATTTACGTCGTACCGTCTGCACAAAATTCCTTGCGTAAGTAATATAATTACAAACGAAGGTTCACTTTCTTTCCAATCCTGTCTCACGCTTGAGAAGAATTGCATTTAAGTATTTAAGTCAACCATGAATTGATTCTTAGGTCTTGCTTGTCCTGACTTGGTCTTGTATAATGGTTTTCATGTAAATATGTGCATGACTTAACGTTTATTGCATTTTTTGTGTACGCTCTCGCAAGACGCGTGTATACAGTTATAATAAATTCGTTTCCTGTTAGTATGGTTCGGAGTACAGTTCGTGAGGCAAGGAACGTATCAAGGAGGGATCTTTAGATTTACTATTACACTGCCGCAAAATTTTCCAGACGGAGAATGCCCTGTAAGACTTCACCTTCTAATATATCAAATCTTCCTAGTATAGAACTCTTGTAATTACATTTTAAACAAATTGTAGAAAGTAATATTTCAAACTCCAGTTTTTCATCCATTGATCAATCCCGAATCTGGTGAGTTGTGCACTTCGTGGGGATTTCCTGAATGGAGGAAAAGCAACAGAATTTGGCAATTGGCACAATTCATAACGAGAATACTCACGAAGGTGGATACTAAGATGACTCCGGTAAATCCCGAAGCATCCAGTTTGTAAGTATCTAATCAAAAACAATCGATTTATCCCGAATTTGGAAATTGGCATTTTGTTTTAATTTTATTACAGATTAGAGAACAACTTTGAAGCGTTTCGAGATCGTGTGAAGAAGTGTGTAAGAGAAAGTTTAAATAAGGTGTACAATCCACCGACAGTAGACGATCCGCACTACATAACTTTCAGTCCATACATTGATGAGCTTCATGAATCTATTAAAAGAGAAATTTACGATCCGAAGGTAAAAATACGATTACAAGTATAAGCAGGGTGTTAGAAGGATCTAAAGGCTCTTGTATAAATATTTGAATATTTATTAATTCACTAATTGTTTTTCTTTTGTAATCTAGGAGGAAGAAGAAGAGAACAAGGCACTCGGTTTATCTTGGGTGCAACCAGGATCGTTGCAACCGTTTTCCAAGCCTGAAGCAAGATAATAAGTAGCTGAATACATAAGAAACACATTATTACGGCCACATACGTCCTTAGAACATAAGAACTCGAAATTCTTCTAATGCAGCGGACAAATTACGATGTATTTTTATATTAGCAAAAGATAAATTATTTTGTAATTATTATTGTTTCTGATGTACGTATTGTTAATAATTATTTGCAATATTCTTATATTTAATTAAATTAAAAACCTAATTGTTAATTTCTTATTGAAATAAAACTTAAAATTCATTAAAAATAAATCTTTCAGTCTCTTCTTTTGGAGAGAGCCTTTCTTGCACAGCGGGTCATTGGTGTGTGCGTGCGATGAGACGAAGCGACAAGCTTTCGCGAACCTGTATTTTAGAGGAGTGCATGTCTTGCAGTGAAATATACGAAGTGTGCCCTCGAATATATCACGAGTGATCTTGATTAGAAGTGTTAAATGTTGTTTCTATACATTTCTATCATTTCTGACGAAATAATCCAAGTTACTCATCCGCTATACTATAAAGAGTATGAACAACGATTTTAACCTTTAATGACAGACGTGCCACTGTAGGTAACGTTTCCACGTTATAAGATTCAGCTTTCCTCTTTATAAACTAATAACTTTATAATAGATCTTACGTAAGTCTGAAAATTAATTCCCGCTCGTGTAAGAAATAGCATATTAATTTGATGAAGTATTATCTTTTAATGAATAGATTTTAATTACATATTCAAAGGTTAAGAACAAACAGAAGTTTCGTATATGATTCATCAGGCAAGCTACATCGAATTCATAGCTTATTTCGTATAACTTAAGTATGCGGGAGATAATTTTCAATTCATTGAACTGTTGGTTAAATATAAAAGAGAATTTAAGTAGTAATTTATATTTCATGCCTGTATAATAAAGTAATGTTAACATATTGTGCATCACGTTGTACAATGCTAATAAGTATATTTCTGCTTGCTTTATGGATTTTAATTATGTATTTGATGCACAGGTGTTTTAGATAATACAAGATCTATCAGTATGCAGACAATAAAGTGCGTCGTGGTTGGGGATGGAGCTGTGGGTAAAACCTGTCTTCTGATTTCATATACTACCAACAAATTTCCATCAGAATACGTACCCACAGTTTTCGACAATTATGCTGTGACAGTAATGATCGGTGGAGATCCTTACACTCTGGGATTGTTCGATACTGCAGGTAAGTTCTTGGCAGTATTTGAATTTATTATCAAAGTAGGATAATTTCATTTTTGAAAAAAAATTCATAATATTCCAGCATTTAGTTAACTAGAAATTATAGTTAATATTATATGACGCATTTAACGTTTGATAGGAAGAATGAAATAATGATATCACGTTGTTTGTAGGTCAGGAGGATTACGATAGACTCAGACCTCTGAGTTATCCTCAAACAGATGTATTCCTTGTCTGTTTCTCAGTAGTGTCACCATCGTCTTTTGAAAATGTCAAAGAGAAGGTTCGTATTTTATTCAAGCTACTTATTGTCAAGATGTTATTGAAACGCGTGATAAACCAAGAAGAATATTATTCCAGTGGGTACCTGAAATAACACATCATTGTCCAAAAACTCCATTTTTATTGGTTGGTACTCAAATCGATTTGAGAGACGACGTTGCTACTATCGAAAAATTGGCAAAGAACAAACAGAAACCGATATCCGCGGAGCAGGGGGAGAAGCTTGCCAAAGAATTGAAAGCAGTTAAATACGTTGAGTGTAGTGCTCTTACACAGGTAAGTGCAATAGCACAGGGCAAAGAAGCACTTGCATAAAATGTGCAGACGCGAAATTATTAAACGAGAACATGATTTCTTAGTTCTCCCACTAATTGTGTAAAACTTTAAATGTTGCAGAAAGGTTTGAAGAACGTGTTCGACGAAGCTATTTTGGCTGCATTGGAACCACCGGAACCGGTTAAGAAGAGAAAGTGTATTCTCTTCTAAAAGGTGTATTTTTTTGGAAGGAGTGCACGTTCAGAAAGGGGAAACAACATACGCGTAATAGTAGCAGCGCGCGAATTTAATGCCTAGTATAAAGCACTGTTAGAAGATTCGAAACTGTGCGTATAAGGTTCCTTCTTCTAAAGCAAAACGAAAAAATAAACGATATTAATCATTCGAGCCCAGAGTTGCCAGCCGCTAATATCTACAGCGCGACAATTTCAATCGAATTGTATGTGTAATTATCGAATTATAACGCCGATCACATTCCACGGGACATCTCAATTTAGATTTTCAATTGATTCAATAAGATCGTTAATTCCGCATGATACGCATTGCACAAACATTTTCTAATTCCTTAAAAGCATGTTCACGCATCGCGGGTGTTACTCTATCAATTTTACACGAGAGATTTGTATTATTGAAAATTTTTTCATATTCCTAGATCGATTGGTGCTATCGATAAACGTTTGATTAATAAAAAAAAAAAACAGTTCGGTCTAGGGTTCCACGATCGTTAATTTAACTGACTGTTCGTAGTGTCCATGTGTGTCTCTTTCTTAGTACATTTGAAGAATCAATACAAACGTGTTATCGTCGGTCGAAATAACGCTCGTGTGATCCCGGCCTGAAGTGACCGCTTGCTGAATGAAATTACCCGTTTTATAGTTAAGATCAGTATTAGAATATTCTGCAAGATCCGTAGGTACAGTCGCTATAGTTACGTTAATTGGATACCTCCGATCGCGGGAATGACGAAAGTAATGAGGATGTAATTTTTCTTCAACCAGCCACGTTACACGAATATCTACTTGGAAATGCGTATTTCTATTACTCGTATATGCATTATCGAAATTCTGAACGGCAGCTAAGTCACGCGAATTGTTTCCGTACGTACATAACGCGTCCGTTTCCGTAACGACCTTCTTACATCTGACTTTGTACATATCAGCGTGCGTTGCAGATACACCGACACGCGGCGTATTAAATTGTATTACGACTGAGAAAGAGGATGTTGAATAACAGGCATTTACATTTTATGAGATTTCGATGAATTCGAATCTACTCTGTACTACCGCCGGCTGAAAATCTCGTAAAAACATTTTACATATATCCACGGATATGTAAGTCCCGAGAAAGGGAACACGTGTACGTGCGGTCAGGTGAACGGAGTCGATGGCTGGTCGAAACGAGTTTCGAACTTGTTTCCCAGCAATCGAACGTTCGCTAATTATTTATTTCAACGAATATAATTGTATCATTTGACGGACGAGTAATCAACGCCTAACAACATACTACGACACGCGAACTGGATACGTGCGAGATGATCTTTCTTGAAAAAAAAAAGATAAATCAAATACAATTGCTCTTTGTGCGATCGGAACAATCCTATTCTCGTGCAATTTGATCGACCACTAGGTAAACGATTGTCATAATAATAACGAAATGAATTACATTCTGTATCCAGTCACGGAAGACGGCATTTATTAAAAAGTATTGTACGTGTCACGGTATGCAGACACAATTACATTATGAACTATTCACACGAAATATATTTATACGGATTACTTTCTAACTAACTAAAAAAAAATATATATATATGTATATGTAAGAATTCTGTTTTTGTGCTTATTGAATTTCTCGATTCTGTCATTGGAGTAACAGATGCCATCGAGGGTGTCGAGAGACAGAAGCGGGCGATGGTCATTTGTCGAGCGAACGGAAATATCGTGTGCGATCAACGTATACATACCGATGTCATTCAGTGATCGCGGACCGCACAGACGTTGCTGCTCGTCCTCCGTCCATTTCTTCTGATTCCTTTCTTATTTTCTTTTCCATCGCCAGTTTCTCCTCTTCTGCCCGTTGATTCCCGTTCGGGTCACCTCTCCCTCCGTCCGCCGTCGACCGATCGTCTCTCTTCCTTTCGCCCTCGCCGCTTGTTCGCACGACGGCTCTTTCTATATACCTTTGCTTTGCTTTCCTCGATTGCATCGCTGTATAACGTAGCGCGCTGCGCCTTGTGGTTACTTCAATTAGCCGGATTCGTGGTTACGTACTCCGGAGCACGTTAACCACGCCGACACAGAAGGTAGTACGCCAGTCACGGACTCATCACGGACGTGCCTCCGTACTCCCTTGACATTATCGCTAATCATTTCGAATCGATTCTCCGATCCATGAGAAAGCCAGCACCGACGCTACGGTGTACGCAACCGTTCCCGGCCGTGCATCGTTTCAATTTGATTACTCGTTGTCAAACGGATTTTCCGACATTGTACATACTATCGAGGGATAAGAAATGTATTTGATGCGTCCGGCGAATAGAAAACGAGAAGAGGAGGGATTAATTCCGCGTAATTAGAATGGGCGTGGAAAAAATTGAACACGCACAGCGTTCGGGGCACGTATTATAAAACAAGCCGACCACCTGGTGGTACCCGCGCGGGGGGCACCGAGACCGCACGTTGACACAATTCATTTTTACGCGGTGTCCCACGCATGATGGGCGGCCGGCTCGCTTCTCCTCTCTATTTATCTTTATCCTTCGTACTTAACTGCGTACCACTTCGACGCGACTAATCGCGGGATCTATGCCCATTCAGCTGCTGTCTCTTCGCCTACTTCGTCCCGGCCGATTCTACTCGCGTTTCTTTACATTCTGTTAACAAGCGCGCACGGGACATTAAGATGTCTCAAGAGATTTCTTTGCGGCCGCGTTTGAGTAAGAACGATCAGCCGGCTCGAAGGTGTACACATGCTTCCGTGTACGCAACCCGAAAATCATCCCTGCGTATACAACTCGAGTGTCCCGGCTTCTGGTAGCCACGGAGCCAGCCATGAGCTCGCCGATAACGCGGCGGATAAGTGGCACGTGTCGCCTCTCTTTATCTCGACAGACAATGTTGCTCTTAGGAGAATCAATGTTTAAGATGCAACGGCTCCTAAGCCAGACGATGCCTAAAGTACTTACGTTACGACCGGGACAGCTTTTAGTCAGCTATTTATCATACGGAAATTTCGCAGAGCTCGACTTATTTTTATACGAGCGCGTGTTCCGAACTGCACTGAGATTAGCTTGTTAATTTTATCGCCGGAACTGAAACGTGAAAACGGAAGGTGGTTGACTTCTTGGTCGTCGCGCCGACGTTATTGAAAGTTGAGATATGAGATAGAATTTTATTTTTATTATACATGACGCGTGCGATACGTGTACATCGCGTTTTATTAATCATTTCATGTATTTCGTAGTTATGTACATGAATAATTGCATTTTATCGAGTGGTTCATGCATCATAATAATTATAATCGATTGAAGTTACTGTTTTATAGCAATTTTGCATCATTGGTGATCAGCTAAAAATATACAGGAGCGACTGATAGTTTGAATTAGGTTCTCTGGGAATAACACTACTGTTCTTCACTTGAGTAGCTTTGGGTGAAAATTGATACATGCATCAAAAAAAGAATTTTCCTGGATATCTGTTTGGATTATTTTTTTTGGATACATAAATTAGTAGATGATATTAGTTGATGTACACATTTGGGAAATATGTTGTCGTTCGAAATAGTAAGAGGCTTCTGGCTTCCATTTAAATAGCTTCAAGTATTTGATGCTTCGCGATCAGATCAGACGAGAAATATAAGAATTTTACATTTTATGTTATTTTATTCATATTAAATACAATTTCCTACGAAAAAGTATCCAAGTGAAGAGCATTGTGCGACGTGCGTAACTGTATTTCACGTTTAGTAGGGTAGGTATGAATAATTGCATTCTATCAAGTGACTAAGAATCCTAATAATAATTATAATCGATTGAAATTACTGTTTTACAGCAATTTAGCATGACGATCACTAGACAGCAGATTTTGTGCATTTCTAAGAAAACGAAACGTGCAGAAATTATAACTGTTGCCTGCAATTTACAAAAGTATGCAGAATATCAAGAACTGAATGTATATTTTAATGTTTTAACGATGACAAGAATGTTTATCTGAAACACATCTTTTAAATTGATATTGTAAATGTTTTATTGTGCATGATCATCGTATAGTGATCGTTTAAAAATATGTAACAGTAATTGATGAATCATTTGAATTAGATACATAATATTCTATGGGAACCATATCTGTTGTACTTGAAAAAATATGCGCCAATCTAATACGTAGTTAAAGAATAAATCGTACTTTCCCACCCTTCTAGAGTGACCAGCAATATTTGAAATTCTTCTCTCGATTCTTGATCTACCGAGGGTTACCCTTCGGACTGGCCAAATCGCGGCGAAGGGTAACCCTCGTGGGACCGTTACTCGCGTATTTATACCGTTTTATTGGAACTTTCGATTTCCAGTTGATCAACACGATTTATGAGAATCGTATCTTCCTCCGCTGCTTGGGAAGCTTATCGTAGTCGCGTAAAAAGAAGAGAATCGAAGTCGTGCGTATGTTACGTAATTTATTATTCTGATCAACAGAGACGAGAAGGAAATCTGGATAATTTAGATAATTTCATTATTAAATAATTTGATCATTAATAGTATTATAAATTTAACATGTGCATACGTTTCACTTATTAGTCTCGAATAATCCATGTTACTTTCTCATAGTAAATTGTACGCAATATGACAGGAGCAGATGTAGAATCGAATAGCGTAAATTCATATTTTGCATTGTTTTTCTCTAATTATCGATAAAACAGGAAAAACGTCAAGAATTCAGTCGGAAATGTTAGAAAAGCCCTAGAGCATTAAAAATCGTCAATGTCTCTAAATAGGACACGCCTCTGAATGAATTTTTACCGGAAGCAATGAACCATAGATTGAAGAATGAAACGAAATCAATGGGCGGTTGTTGCGTAAACGGGCAAGGGGTTTGTCTGAAAGGAGATCTCTAGAGTGGTCGATCTTCCGGGGTTTCGGCGAACGATGCAGTCGCGGTCAGAAGAGCAGCGAGCAGAAGTCGAGGGACAACGTGGGTGGCAACAATAGCTCTCCGGAGCGGGCCAGATTCTGGTGGCACGGACACGCATTGTACCAGGCACAGTTTGAAGGTGATTGATCACCGAGCCGGTCGGCGATCGCGCGTATACACGCGTGCACCGCGTCCGTGGCTGCCTCTTTTCTCTTCCATCCACGGCCAACGGGGACATCATGCTCGTTTAACATGTCCGGTTGACAACGAACTGGTCGTCGTCGTCGTTGTCGTCGTCACCAACCAGATCTGGATTTTCGATGGAGGCGAAGCCACGGGGGGTAGACATACCTCGATGAGTCCGATCTTCGAGAGATCAACGAGCGAGCCGAACGAGACGTCGCTGAAACCAAACGAATCGTTTCGCGTTTCATATTCTTCTCTTATTTCGTCTCACGGTACGCTCCTCGCCTACGGAAAACCGCGAAAACTCGACGTCGTTCTCATTCACGCATGTCTGATTCGATCGACGCGAGTACATGCTCAAGACCATGACTTGGAAATGCGGGCGGACTGTCCTTCGGAAACGCGTAAAACAGTAAAAAAGGTAAAAAGCAACAAACGCGCTACGCGTTATTTGCAGTATTTCAGTTTTTATGCAAAACCTTATGGACGGATTCGCGTACACCGAGACTTTAATGACTCTTCGTCGATTATTGTTATTCCCTTTACGATACTGTGTACGTCTACGCGTGTACTTAAGCCGACGGGAAGCGTGTAACGAAGTTTACGAGCGGTTCCCGCGTTTCAATCACGAGGAGCGTAACTGCGTCGCGCGTACACTCGTTGGACTCGGTGTCTACCGGAGAAGTTTTGCCATATGACGCTACCGATCGAGCGAGCCCTGGCTCGCCGAGGGGCTGGTAATGATGGCACGAGGGACGCGATGCTGCGACATGCGGTATCGTCGTATACACAGAGACCGAACAATTTGTATTAAAATGAGCCGCGCTACCCTCCCAGCGATTTTATAAAAACGAAGAAAAACCTGTATACGTTGTGCACCGCCGGCACCGGGATAAACGGATACGGAAAAGGGAATCGCCTATCTTCTACCCGGAATCGAATCTCTCTATCGAAACTCGACCGAGTTTACAACCCCTGTTTACTTCGATGGAAAAAGAGAGTACATTCGGAAACACGCGGCACTGATATCAAAACCGAATCGATTATCGCAATCGCGAATATGTATTAACAACCAAGATTGATCGCTAAGCTGGTTTTTTATTATTACGTTTGCTCGTGTTGCTTCTCGATAATACTTAATCTATGATGTACGACGTTTTACGAATCGATTTGAAGATGAAATAATTCAGTCGGTTTGTTCATAGTGAAGCAATTTTATTGGAATATTTGTATGATGGCTATTAAAAATTTTAACTTGCTACCAAATTTAAAGTTCTAGGA